TGTTGTCAAATTCTTTTCAGCACCAACTGATATGTGGTTTTTAAAAAATATTTATATTAGTAACATGATTTATTATGTTTATAGTTTGCTTTATGTTGACTCAACTTTACATTCACAACATAAATCCAACTTGGTCATAGTATATAATTTTTCTAATATGTTGTTGTAGCCTGTTTGTAATATTTTATTAAATTTTTTGAATCAATATTCAATAGGGATATTGATCTATAATTTTCTTTCTCTGCTTTGTCTCTCTCTCATTTAGGTATTGAGACCATATTTGTATCATGGAAAGAGATTGTGAAAGTGCCTTCATTTAATATATTGCATGGAATATGTGAAATGTTTGAATTAATTGTTCTTTGAATGTTTCATAGAATTCATTTATAAATTCATCTGGTTCTGGAATTTTTCTTTGAGAATTTATGGCTTATTCAATTTCTTTTTTTTTTTGATATTGGACCATTTAATCTATTTCTTCTTTTGTTAAGCTAGCATTTTATATTTTTGTAGATGTAATGTGGGTCTAGCTCATGTGCAGACCATATCGTCTTGCTAAGATGGTATCTCTAAGAGGAGAACACTGTGTGGACATTCTGTAATTGGTTCTCACTGGTCTACCACATAGTTTAGAGGAATTTTTTTCCTTCCAATAGCTGTGTAGCCAATAATTGTCAGCATCTTTGAAAGGGACTAATTGAGTCAACTGCTCTCTTTGGCTCTATTGCTACATTTGTGAGGAAGTGAGGTAATTCTTTCACTCATAGCATCTTCACTTACAACGAGAACTTGTAGTAAGGAAAAAAGACCTTGAGATCTTCTCTCCTCTTTAAGGCCATATGGCTCCAAGAAATGGTCCTGGGCCCTTTGCTTTTTTATTTGTTCTTTTCCCATCTAGGTGCAGGGAATGGAGTCTTCAGATTTAAGAGTGACAAAGGTTGAGAGTGCAAGCCATAGGAATCTGGGAGTCTAGGAATGTCTATCAGATATTGCAGCCAGCCCAGCACTGAGGCATCAAAATACATAGAATGATCATCTGGAATGATCTTTATTACTCCAGCCCAGCAAAATCCACCCATGGATATAAACTTGGTTGGACTAATACTATGTAGGAACTGAGCTAAATTTTGAGCCTAATTTCTACCCCTTAAGGACTGAGTAGATGAAGAAGAGATTATGTCCCTGAAATGTCTGAGGAAATGTTTGTAGTTTATTCTATGTTTTTGAAGTAAATATTCCTTTGTAAAAGCTATCTCATGTTACATGATTAAATGGATATGGGGTACTTGTCACTGACCTCCTAAAGTTAGTAGGAACACTAATGGAGTATTGAGCCAATGGCAGAGAAAAGAGATGCCAACAACCCCACATAAGGTACATGAGAATCCTGAGAGGGAGATGTAACAGGCCTGGCCCTGTTATTTATATATTTATATAAATATTCATCCACTTCCTTTAAATGATAACTTTTATGAGCATATATTAGGGAAAAATAGTTTCTGATAACTTCCTTTATTTCCTCGTGAATTGTTGTGACCTCTTGTTTTTAAATTTTTTACATGAACAGTTTGGTTTTCCTTCCTTTATAAGAAAAAATCAGATTGGTTAGCTGTTTATCTGTCTCATTAGTGTTTTTAAAAAATGCTCCTAGATTTAATAGTTCATTATTTTTGACTTTCAATTTTATTAATCTCAGTTAATTTTTAGAATTTCTATTTGGTTGTTTAATTGGATTTTAAAATTTGTTGTTGCTCAAGTTTTTTTTAATGTTGTGTGAGAAATGAAAGAGTTAAGTTTCCATGTAATCTTCGGAACCGAGTCTGGGATCCTCTTTATAATAGTTGTGATCTTAATTCCTTGATTTTTTTCTTCTTCTCTTTACTGATAAAAACAATTTGAGACATCAATTTGCCCCTAAAACTATTTTAACTTCATCCCATAAGTTTTAGTATATTGTCTCATTATTTCTTTTATGACATTTTCTAATTTGTCCTTTGATCTATCAGTTCTTTAGGATTATATTACTTAGTTTCTTAATTATTTTAAGTCTTAATTTGAGCCCTGTATTAGATATAATTTTTATTACATTGTGATTAGTAAATGGTATATTTAGTATTTCTGCTTTTCTATATTTTTTGATGGAGTATTTGTGCATCAACATGTGGTCAGTTTTATAAAGTTGCCATGTATAGATGAGAAGTACGTGAATTCCTTTCTATTACTATTCAGTAATCACCAGAGATCTATCATCTCTAATTTTTCTAAATTCTATTTAAATCCTTAACTTCTTTCTTGTTATTTTTTGGTGGAAAGACTTTTTATTCTTAGGCTAAAGAAAGACCTCTGACAGAGGATAAAGGTCTCTGACAGAGGTATAAACCTCAATGGCCAGGAATAGCAGATCAAACAAAAGATTTATGCCTGAAGACACTAGCTAACTACCCTTGTTTGGCATTAGAAAGAACTTGGTAAAAGAAGTCAGAAATTTCCTTGTTAAAATAGATGCTATCTCATGTGATCCTCATAACAATCCTGAAAGGTAGACACTGTTATTAGCCCTATTTTACAGATGAGGAAACTGAGGCTAAGGGAAGTAGGATGATTTGCTTAGGGGCACCCAGATAATAAGTGCCTAAGCAACATTTGAACTTGGATCTTCCTGCTTTCAAATCAGGTCCTGTACCCATTGTGCCACCAAGCTATCTCCTATGTATTCCATATGTGTTTGACTCTATCATAAATGTTCTCTACATATGTCCTAACTTTCCACTGATTTTATGTATGCTCATGAGAAAGTATGTCCCAGGTTTATAGGGGGAAGTGTTTTATTGATTAGTTCTGTAAGAAAAAAAAGGGAACCAATTCAATTTAGGGACATTTCTCAAGCAGCTACCTAGGGCAGGTATTGAGGGGAGGGGAAAGAGTGATGTGATACAAATAAGGTTTTGCCCCCACAGAGCATAGAGGGTCCAGATGAAATATTGACTGAATCCCTCAATGATTGGAATCCAAGTTGAAAAGGAAACATCTCCTCTACTTTTTCAGTCTTTTGCTTCATGCACAAGACACAACTGGAATGAATTTCTACAAATCTTGCTGGCTGACCTTACTAGCTATCATAACTTTCTCATTTATTAGGAAATGGATTTAAGGACAAAATAGTAAAAGAGGAAATGGTCTGTTTGGGAGGCAGCCTGGCACAGTGGACAAATAGTTTGTCTGAAAGCCCCTGGAGACTCACCTCTGACCCATCTTGGCTGTGTGACCCAGGCAAATCCCTTAAGCTCTCAAGGCCCCTAGGCAATTTTCTAAGACCACAAGTTACAGAGAAGGTGCTGATCTCCATTGGAAGAGGGATCAGTTGGTGCTGGGGAACAGGGTTTGTTCATGGATAGCTGGGGTTCAGTATCCCTAGGATGGGTAGAGTTTAAGGTAATGGGAGTATGCCAACTCTCCAGAAATAGCCCAGGCAGAGTAACAATGAGAGGTCTGTTGAGGCAGTTGGGTGAGTCCCAAGTTATTCTTCAAGGTCTAACTCCATGGCAAGTGGTCATGTTGTATCATGTGAAGCCCCATGTGGCTGGCCAGGCAGCAAACAAGAGCAGGAGTTCTAGCCCAGGGAATCTGGGAACTGGTTCAGGGGACAAGAGGTGTTCTTGGTGCCAGGAGGGCCAATCCCCTGTGTGGAATCCAGGGGGAGGGGATGGTGACTTAGGCACCTCCTGGCAAGCTCAGGAAGGGCCTGGAGTTATTTGAGTGAGGTCTGGTCCTCACTTTTCTCTACATCTACTTCTCTGCTTGGATTCAGCTTCACAGAAAAACATGGCCCTCTCAGGACATGCTCATTACTTCTAAACTCTCCACAAGGCTGAAGCCTTGATTGACACCACCTCTCTCAGCCTTCTGTCATTGAAAGGCTGGAGGGAGGAGTCCCAAACTCTGCCTAGGGCCTTCCTTTAGAAGGGACAGAAATTGAACTATAAGACCCTCTCTCACCTTTGCATTTGGGGTCCTGCCTGGTTTCAAATCCATGGAACAATTTCTTCTCTGGTGTTTCACCTCTCTCCTCATCCCAATCCCATGCTCCTCCCTCCTCCTGCCTCATTTTGTGTGTTGTCTCTCCTTTTAGATTGTAAGCAACTTGAGGTCAGGCACTGTTATTCTTTTTATTACTTGTATCTCTAGTCCTTAACACAGTGCCTGGCACATAGTAGGTGCTTAAGAAATGTTTATTGGATTCATAGCAGCTCTTTTTGTAGTGGCAAAGAATTGGAATTTGAGAGCATGCCCATCAATTGGGGAATGGCTGAGCAAATTGTGGTATATGAATGTAATGGAATGCTATTGTGCTACAAGAAATGATGAACAGGCTGACTTCAGAAAGACCTGGAAAGACTTGTATGGTCTGATGCTGAGTGAAGTGAGCAGAACCAAGAGTACGCTGTACACAATAACAGCCATGTTGTGCGATGACTAATATTGATAAACTTAACCCTTCCTGGCACTACAAGAATCTAAGACATCTCCAGAGGCCTTGGGATGGAAAATGCTATCCACATCCAAAGAAAGAACTATGGAGATTGAATTGCTATTTTTTTCTCTTCTGTTGAGTTTTGTTTCCTATTTCTGATGGTTCCTCCTATTGGTTTTAATTTCTACTTACAACATCACTAATGTGAAAATATGTTTAATAGGAATGTAAAGGTATAGCCTATATCAGGTTGTGTGCCATCTTAGGGAGGATGGTGGGGAGGAAGGGGGAGAAAAATTTTAAACTCAAAAGCATGTGGAAGTGATTATTGATAAGTCTAAATAAATTAATAAAAAAAGACTTAGCAAAACAGAATTAAAATCAATTTTAAATTTTACAGATCCATGGCATTAGTGGAGTTTACAACTTAGGAAGATATAGAGTCTAAGTTAGAGTTGGGGGCTGAAATATGTCATAATAAATAAGCACAAAAACAAACAAAAAAAAAGAAATGTTTATTGGATTGTATTGTTGCAGAGGCCTGGGGGGTTCTGTTCCCCAAAGCCCCAGTTCTTCTCTAACCTAAGCCTCAGTTACCTTATTTTCAAAGCATGGTGACCTGCCCAAATAAGGAATTCAATTTCTGTGAACGTTGATTTCTGTTCCCTTCTCTTGCCATCCCTACAGAGCTCACCCAGAGCAGGGTCTTGGTCACTAAGGAATCAAGGTCAAGGTCAAGCTGAACACTCCTCCACATTGGCTTGGGTCCCAAGTTTCTCCTCATCCTGACCATGAGGGCCTTGGTGGCTGTCTTCTCCTTCCTCCTCCTCCTTCTCCCTGGCTTCTGCTTGGTGATGTCAGCTGAGCAAGGTAAGTCCCTTTCTTTTTCTAGTTGCCTTGAGGTCCCTCTCATGGGTCCTCATTCAGTTCCTTCCTTCGCAGCTTCCTCAATTGACTTCGTCCCCTGCTGCAACAACTTCATCAAACATCGGATCCCGCAATCTCTTGTGGTCGGTTTTGTTAGGACCAGCCCCCGGTGTCCCAAGCCCGGAGTTTTGTGAGTGCTTCATGTGCTGACTTTCTCTGAAAAGACAAGAAGCAGCAAAGGCTGAGAATCCCCAAGGAATCCACAGGAGAAGAAGATCTAGACTTGTGTTTCTTGATCCCATCCTATAGGACTAGGAGGAATGGGTATACATTTTAGAGGCAACTTTGGGATCGATGTAAGAGGGAAAAACCCAACAACTCCCTTAGGATCATGGCCATGAAGTCCAACTCTGATTTTACAAATAAGGAAACGGAGACCCAGAGAATTACAGAGACCTTGTCAAGGTCACACAGGTGGGACATTAGAGGTGGGAGGTGAGCCCTGGCCCTCTGACTCCTGTCCCACTCATCGCGTTGGCCTCTGTACCGCTGCCCCTCCTAAATTTGGAATGGTCGTGGGTTCTCCTACACCAGACATCGTCAGCCAGAGGCTGTCTAACCGTTTGTGCTGAGATGTTGTAGATAAGAATCTGGTTTCCATACAGTCTGGACTGGGTGGCTTCTGAGATCCCCTTCCCCTCCAATATTTTGGAACTCAGGAAGTTTCTGGCCTCCCTATCTTACTGAAAATGAGGATTTGACCCTAGAGAAACTGGAAATAGTACAGAATTGGTAGTCAAAAATTGTTGTTCAGCCATTTTCCATTGCATCCAACTATTTGTGACCCCATTTGGAGTTTTTTTGGCAGAGGTTCTAGAGTGGTTTGCCATTTCCTTCTCCAGATCATTTGACAGATGAGGAAACTGAGGCAAACAAGGTGAAGTGACTTGCCCAGTGACACAACCTAGTAAGTGTCTGAGGCTGGATCTATTTTTTGTTTGGTTTTTTTTCTTTGGTCGTCTTTTCTTGGTTTTTTCTTTTCAATGGGGGTTAAGTGACTTGCCCAGGGTCACAACAGCTAGTAAGTGTCAAGTCTCTGAAGCCGGATTTGAACTCAGTTCCTTCTGACTCCAAGGCCAGAGCTTTATGCACTGTGCCACCTAGCTGCCCCCTGAGGCTGGATTTGAACTCAGGTCTTTGGAACTCCAGATCTGGCACTCTATCCATTGTGTCACCTAACTGCCTGGGAGTCAAAAGACCTGGGTTCAAATCCCAGCTCTGTCATTTCTTACCTTTGTGACCTCCTTGGACATCTCCTTTCACTTTCTTTGGGCCTCTTAGGCTTGATGGTCTTCTATGACTCTTTCCATACATCTATAATTGTCAGACAGGATGACCTTTGACCTCTCTTCCAGTTCTAAATTGATGATGCTATAATCATAAATTACAAATATTTAGAATATAGTGTCATAATTATATATTAAATAATGTTTTGTTGTAATTATAAATATTTATATCTAGTATTATAATTATATATCATATATTATAATTATAAATATTTATAATGTGGTGTTATAATTATATATTATATGATATATTGTTGTAATTGTATTTTTATATAGTGTTAGAATTATAAATGTGTATACTACATTGTTATAGTATAATATACAATATACTATAATAAACAACATATACCAATTATTCACATTATAGGTCACATCACTTAGCCTTTAGGGAAGAGCCATCTTTCGTTTCTCAGAAGCCTTGAGATTATTCTGGGGGGGGAGTAGTAGTGGCACTTGGAGTAGAAGAAAAATGGGGCTCCCCTGAAAGTCCTTGCCCTAACAGGGAAACCAGGCACGTTCCCCAACCCTCAGAGAATCCTCACAAACCTTAAGGTGTGGATGTACGGGAGGGATGAGGGATAGGATTGGTAGACGGAGGGGACCTTGGAAATCATCCAAGCTAATCCCTACATTTTGTTGAAAAGGAAACTGAGGTTTCTAGAGCTGTTGAGGGTTTTCTATGGTCCCACAAGGAGTAAGTAGTAGAGATGGTCTTTTGGTTCCAGAGCTAGGGCTCTTTACAGGACAACTAAAGTGCCCCTGTAGGTAGTTGTGGTAGGGAAGATTGTGTGGTGGCAGAAGCTGGTTTGGAGATGATGAATAAGGCTCTGACACCTCCCAGCAGATTGAGATTAGCTAGTTGGGAATCTCCTTCCTGTACTGGACCTGATGGATTCTGAGTAGGAGCTGCTCCCATTGAAGGTTGGGAGAGACACCCCAGGGAGGATACCCAGGAGATGCTGCAGAGGAAGGTGCTTACAGCCCTGGGGAGATGAGGGCAAAATCAGGGTGCAGAGAGGGAGAAATGAGAAAAGAAGGGCATTTAATTTCAGCAGCTTCTCTGAATAGACTCCATCTGCTTTTCAATCCTCAGGTTTGAAACCAAACAAGGACTGAAAGTCTGTGCCAATCCAGCTGTCCACTGGGTCCAGAGGTATATGAAAGGCCTGGATCTCCACTAAGCTGGGGGGACAGGGTGGCAAGTGAAAGAGGACAAGGAAAGTCAGCTGGAGCACTCCTGTGTCCTTTTGCTAGTGCTGACCTGGTCCTGGCCCCCAGGACTGTAGGCAGCCTCAAACCTGCTATTTCCACCCCAGAGGGTTGGATAGAAATGGGTCAAACTGCACAGTCTGGGGGACAATAAAAGCCTTTGAAAGCAAAACTCTCTGTTGGTTTTCCTGGGGATGTGGTTTGAATGAATTTTACTTCTCTTTCCTACTTTCCTGTACCAATCTATACTAGAGACTTCTTTCACCAATGGTGCAGGCGATACTGAGCCTGGGACAGGCAGAGGGTTCGGGTTTATGGTGAGAAGAAGCTGGCTTGTGACTTCCATCCCCAAGTTCAAGATTCCTGTCTTTCCACTTTCTGTTCTTCTCTAGGCCGGTCTTTGTTTTTCAATGACTAGTTCTCCCTACTTCCCCCCCACCCCCACCTTCTCTTCCAAGTCACCCAGGCTCATAACCTCAGTTTCATACTCTATTCCTCATTTGAATCTGTTTTCAAATCTCTTTTCTACCTTCAAAACATCTCTCCTCTAGATCCCCCATGGCTACGTCACTGGTGCTGGCCCTTATCCATCACCTCTTATGTGGACTATTCTCCTAGTCAATCTCTCTACCTCAAGTCTTTCCCCACTAATTCATTCTTCACTTAGCTACCAAAGTGATTTTCCGAAAGCACACATCTGACGCCATGGTACCTCCCTTTCCCCTGTACAAAAGGAGGTCCACTGGCTGCCTATTATCTCCAGGATCAAATATGAGTCTTCTGTTTGTCATTCAGAGCTCTTTATCACTTGGCTCTTTTCTGCCTTTCTAGCTTTCTTACACTTTTTAGTCTTCTGCATTTTTCAAGATCCAGAGACACTGGAATCTTTGCTGTTCCTCATACATGATGCTCTGTACTCAGTGTCTTTTTTTTCAAGTTCTCCCCCATTCCTAGAATGCTCTCCTTCTTCACCTCTCCCTCTTGACTTCTCTGGTTTCATTCAAGACTTAACTCAGATCCCATCTGCTGCAAGAGGCCTTTTCTGTTCCCCCTCCCCTGCCAGTACCTTCCCTCTGGGCTGACCTCCCATTTATTCACCTTGTAGATAACTTATATGTACATAGTTGTCTCTCCCATTAGAAAGTGAGCTCCTTGAGTTTAGGGCTCATGTTTTTGTCTTTCTTTGTATTCCCAGTGCTTAGCACAGTGCTTGCCACATAGTAGGTTCTTAATAAATGCTTCTTGATGGATCGATTTATATCTCCAGAGTACAGTATCTGACACATAGTAGGTGCTTAATAAATCCTTTTTGATGGATTGATTATTTGTATCCCCAATACTTAACATAGCATCTGGTACTTAGAAGGTGCTTAGTAAATTTTTTTGATTTAATATTTTATTTTTTCCCCAATTATGTGTGAAAACAATTAAAAAAAACATTTGGCAAGGCAAACAATCTGATATAGGTTGTACATGTGCAGTCATGAAAGACATATTTTCATGTTGGTCATGTTGTGAAGGAAAAGAGAGACAAAAAAACCTCCAAGAAAAATAAAGTAAAGAAAAGGCATGCCTCAATCTGCATTCAGACTCCATTAGTTCTTTCTCTGGAGGTGGAGAGCATTTTTCATCATAAGTCTTTCAGGATTGTCTTGGATCATTGTATTGCTGAGAGTAGCTAAGTTATTCTCAGTTGATCGTCATAAAATATTGTTGTTACTGTATACAATGTTCTCCTCGTTCTGCTTATTTCACTTTGCATCAGTTCATTTAAGTCTTTCTAGGTGTTTTTCTGAGAGCATACTGCTCATCAGTTCTTATAGCACAGTAGTATTCCATCACAATTATGTACAACTTGTTCAGCCATTCCCCATCTGATGGCCATCCCCTCAATTTCCAGTTCTTTGTCACCACTAAAATCCTGCTCTAAATATTTTTGTACACATAGATCCTTTTCCTTTTTTTTATCTCTTTGGGATATTAGTGGTATTGCTTGGTCAAAGGGTCATGTGGGTGGTAATATGCTGAGTTTTGAAGGATGTAGAGGACCACATGTGGCCTTGAGGCTGCAGGTTTCCTACCCAGATGGTTTTTCGTTGATTAGTTCTGTCAGGAAAAAAGGAACTAATTCAATTTTAGGGACATTTCTTAAGCACCCTCCTAGTGTCAGGTGCTTGGGGGAGGGGAAGAAGTGGTGGGATACAAATAAGGCTTTGCTCCCACAGAGCATAGAGGGTCCAGATAAGAAATTGACTGAATCCCCCAATGATTGGAATCCAAATTGAAAAGGAAACATATCTCTTACTTTCTCAGTCTTTTGCTTCACGCACAAGACACAACTGGAATGAATTTCTACAAATCTTGCTGGCTGAACTTACTAGCTATCATAACTTTCTCATTTATTAGGAAATGGATTTAAAGACAAAACAGTAAAAGAGGAAATGGTCTGTTTGAGAGGCAGCCTGGCACAGTGGACAAATAGTTTGTCTGAAAGCCCCTGGAGACTCTCCTCTGACCCATCCTGGCTGTGTGACCCAGGCAAGTCCCTTAAGCTCTCAAGGCCCCTAGGCAATTTTCTAAGACCACAAGTTACAGAGAAGGTACTGTTCTCCATTGGAAGAGGGATCAGCTGGGGCTGGGGAACAGGGTTTGTTCATGGATAGCTGGGGTTCAGTATCCCTAGGATGGGTAGAGTTTAAGGTGATGGGAGTATGCCAACTCTCCAGAAATAGCCCAGGCAGAGTAACAATGAGAGGTCTGTTGAGGCAGTTGGGTGAGTCCCAAGTTATTCTTCAAGGTCTAACTCCATGGCAAGTGGTCATGTTGTATCATGTGAAGCCCCATGTGGCTGGCCAGGCAGCAAGCAAGAGCAGGAGTTCTAGCCCAGGCCATCTGTGAACTGGGTCAGGAGACAAGAGGTGGTATTGGTTCCAGAGGGCCTATCCCTTGTATGGAATCCAGGGGGAGGGGGTGGTGATTTAGACACCTCCTGGCAAGCTCAGGAAGGGCCTTGCTGTGCAGTTTCAGTTCCTGGTGCTTAGCATAGTGCCTTTCACATAGTTCTTAATGAGTGAGTGATAACTTTGCAAAAGCTCTGCCTCAATTAAATCCAATTCACTTGCAAGTCAAGACATCTCCTTCCCGGTGTCATTGGTCCTCTTGGAGAACAAAGGACAAAACAACAACAACAATAAGCCTTTATTAACTGACTTTCCCCCCCTACCTATATTGCCAAATAACCTTTTCCTGTTCCTTTGCTAGCTTATCCCATTTCTCTTGCCCATCTCTTCGCTTTCTCCTTTCCCTTCCCAGTCCCATATGTTTGCCTTTCTAAATGTTAGAAGGAGAGATAGTGTGGGTTCTTTGTAGCCCAGGCTTAGTGTTTTGGCAATGTGGGGTAATGGGAGGCCTGCTGGCTTTGGAATCCCAGTTCTGATACTATTTATGAGACTTAGGGCAACTCTCACGATCTCCTTGGGCTTCTCTTCCTCTATATATTATGAGAGGATTGGACTACATAACTACTTTAAAGATTTTTTTTAATTGACATCTTATGTTTTTATATCACCTTCATATTTCAGTTGGAGAATTGCAGAGAAGGTGCCAACCTGCCTTGGTAGGAGGAGTTTTCTCTTCTTTTCTTTTTTTCATTAAAATGAGGATTAATTTATTATTCCTTTATGCTCCTCTGCTTCACCACAGTAACAAGCTTATTTTGAAACGATACATTTTAATAGTGAATGAAATCATTTATACATCTATTTGCCTGATTTTTTTGCTGCCGTTGCATTTGGTGTGATACATACCAAACTCTTTTCATTATTTCTTTAATCTTCTACCAATAATCTTACCCTACATAATTTTTAAATATGAATTTAAGTGGAAAAAAGTAAATTTATTAATCACATCTTATATAATATTTTCCCATATCACTTTGAAGCATCCCTCATTTTATTCTGTGATCAGATATTTAGGGAATCTAATTAGTTTTCAGTCTGTCTGCTTTATTAATCAAATGTTTCAAGTATATTTATTCAGTGTCTAAAAATGGCAAAAACAGAGGTTAAAGGAGGCTCACTCTAAAAAGTCATCTAAAATCCTGAGCAGGCAGTGCAAAGATATTCCTAGAAGGAGTTTTCTTAGATAGGAGATCTACTTTTATCATTAAAATCTCAGTTCCAGTCCCTATCCCTGTTGCTGTCCTATCTCAATATATCATCCCCTTCCTCATCCAGAGAGTCTATCCCCGTCCAAAGGATGAAAGAGAAAGAATGACTAAAGCATTTATTAATCCCTTTTTACATGACAGGCATTGTGCTAAGCGCTGGGGATGTAAATAAAAGGAAAGGAGAGTGAAAAAATTATGCTCATTTATTTACTTTTAACATTCTTTTAAAATTTTGAGTTCCAAATTCTCTCCTTCCCTCCAATCCCTTCCCTATCCATTGAGAAGGTAAGCAATATGATAGTCATTATATGCGTGAAGTATGCAAAATGTATTTCCATAGTATCTGCATTGAAAAAACCCCAAGAAAAAACAGTTAAAAATGTGCGTCAGTCTGAATTCGGTGACCATCACTTCCCGGATGGGAGATAGCATTTTTCACCATGAGTCCTTTGCAATTTTGGTGCATCATAGTATTCATCAGGGGAGCTGATCTTTCACAGTTGAACATATTTACCCCATTGCTGTTTCTGACTCCAGGTTTCACACTCTAGCCATTGAACCAAATTACCTTATTTAGGAGAGAGTGTGCTCCACAAAATGTTTTATACCAATGTTCTTATTGTACATTTTAGTAAATGTCTTTGCTAACAGCTAATTAAATTTATTGTCTAATTATTACTGAGAAAAAGAGTGAGGGGGAGGACTTGTGAGCTATATAGTGTTGAGAGTGACCACCATCAGTCTTATTCCTAAAACTCATGGTTGCAGCCATCTTCTGGGGATGTGTGCTACCAGAGTGTGAGT